AAGTTACATATTGCATTGGGTAAATCTGCTACAAAAGATCTTTTTAAAGTGTTAAACAGCATAGGTGTCACTTTGAAGACTAGGGAGTGCTTGGTTCAAGCCATGGTATTTTCAGTTGCCTCATATGCATGGGAAAGGTGGACAGTGAAGAAGGAAGACTGAAGAATTGTTGCCTTTGAATTATGGTATTGGCAAAGAATTATATAGACCATGGACTGACAGAAGAATAAACAAATCTCTCTTGGAAGAGTACAGTCAAAATGCTCCTTTGAAGCAAGGATGGCAAGACTTCATCTTACCTACTTTGGACATATTCTCAGGAGGGGCCAATCCCTGGAGAAGGGTATCATTCTTGGTAAAGTAGAGGGTCAGTGATGGACTGACACAGTGGCTACCACAATGGGTTCAAACACAGGAACAACTGTGAGGATGGTGCAGGGCCAGTCAGTGGTCATTCTGTTGTACACAGGTTTGCTATGAAGTAGAACCAACACAGTGACATTTAATCACAACAATAAACCCTGGACTTAGAAGTCACATTGCAAGCTCAGGCAACATTGCTGATGCTAGAGAAGTCTTTTCCTATGATGGGGATTATTCACTATTATGGGTCGAATTATGTCCTCTCCCTACCCCCCCCCGCCCCAAAAAACAGACATAATGAAGTCTAATCCTGGGAATGCAACCTTATTTGAAAATAGGATCTTTGAAGAAGCTATCCATTAACATGAGATCATTCCAGAGTAAGGTTGGTCCTAATCCAATATGACTGGTATCTTTTATAAAAGAGAAGAGTGGAAAAGACAAAGACACAGAGGAAAGATGGCTGTGAGGTGACAAAGGCAAAGATGGAGTGATGATGCAGCTGCAAGCCAAAGATGCCTACCAGAAGCATGGAGAGGCAAAGAAGGATGTTTCTCTAGAGTCTTCAGAGTCTTCAACACCTTGAATTCAGATTTCTGTGACAATAAACTTCTATTGTTAAAAGCCTCCTACTCTTTGGTACTCTGTAACGGCAACCCTAGGAAATGAATTCATCACCCACTTACTACACATATTTAAGTGTTGAAGGAGGCACACTGAAGATATTCCAGAAGACTCAGAGACATCCTCCTGGAGTATGCAATCTGGTGGGAGAGTATGAATCCTACTATGCTATGGGAAGAACTATGAAGAAGAGGTACATAGCACTTTGCTTATAGTGGGGAAAATCTGACCTAGTTTGGGAAAAGGATTCCCAGAGAAAGGAACTTTTTGTCTTCTTTATTGAGATATAGTTTACACACATTATTTCTTCAAATAGGAGTCCTGGGTGACATATATGGGTTAAAGGCTAACTATTACCCAAAAGGTTGGCAACTCAAGTCTTCCCACAAGTTCCTCAGAAGAAAGGCCAGGCAGTCTACTTCTGAAAGATCACAACATTGAAAACCCTATGGAGTACAATTCTACTCTGACACACATGAGGTTGGGATAAGCCAGAATTGATTCCATAGACACGGGTTTGTTTATTTCCTTCATGTATTTGTTCTCGCCCACTTTCTCTCCCTGGATCACTGTCCTCTTTCTGAGCTCTCATAATGGATGTGTTGGTCTGTTTGATGGTGTCCACAGGACCCTCAGATTCGGTTCATGTTTCTTCTTTTTTTTAAAAAAAAGATCGCTCAGGGTGTTCTGCCTGTGGATCCCATACTAAATCTGTTCCTGGGGACAGATGGAGGCAACAGGGCCTCCTCAGGAATGTAAAGAAATGCGGATTCCACCTATCCTCACCACCAAATCTCTGGGCCCTCCTGGCTTCACCCAGAAGACAATAAGCCCCAGGGCAGACTGGTGCTAGCAGATTCCTGTTGCCTTCTCTGGGCTCCCACAGCCCGACCTTAACGCAGGTGGGGGAGAGGACCAGAGCACAATCCAGGGGCGCCACCTGCTGGTGGGCATTGAGACAGGAGAGCACTTTGCACAGAAGGTGGAACCTCAGCCTCAGGGTCCGAGATGATGGCTGCCCCCAGGGAGACAAGCCCAAACTCACAAGAAGAGGTGTAGGCACTTTTATGATAAGATGGAGAGGTCCCCATCATGTTTCTTTTTCAGCACTCCTACTCAGATGTCCCTGGAGTGTCTCCTGTCCTCTGTGTTCACTACATGGCCCAGGACATATTCACCACAGGGTGGACAGCATTTTCTTTTCTAAATCCACCCTGGACACTGGGATACCTCCTAGTCAACAGAACTCACAACTGAGGCATCAACAACTGTGAGACTCCTGGTTTAGGGTAAAGAGGCCCTCTCTGTGCCCCTGAGTTTCCTGGACTGCCCCTATCAGGTGCTCTTCATGCATCATGTTTGGATGGGATCACACACAGGTGGGTCTCTTCTCAAGGCAATACCATTGATACCTAGATGTGGAGAGCTCACAGGGAATCCAGGTTTTCCAGAGTAAACCCATAGCCCAAACTGTCTGACTTCTATAGAGTAACATCTGCTTCATAAAATGAGTCTCCTGAAGGAAAAATAAAAATGACTTCATTTTATCTAAATTAACCCCATTGTTATCGTGTTATGACACTTAGTGACCCTCAAGAGCAGAGTAGAACTGCCCCATTGAGTTTTCAAGGCTATAATCTTTCCAACCACTTCTCATCTGTCAGTTTGTCACACTGTGGTGTTTACATGTTGCTGTAATGCTGGAAGCTATGTCAACTGTATTTTAAATAAATGCCAACAGGTATTTGGCGGGCAGGTTTCAGCTGAGCTTGCAGACTAATTCTGAAAGTTTAGCCATTGAAAACCTTATAAATAGCAGTGGAACACTGTCAGCACCAGAATATTGACTATTGAAGCATAATGAAGAGCTACAGAATACTGTCAGATATAGTGCCAGAAAATGAGTCCCTCAGGTTGGAAGGCATTCAAAATACAACTGGGAAAGAGCTGCCTCCTCAAAGTAGAGTTGACCATGATTACATGAATGGAGTAAAGCTTTGTTTGCTGATGGCACACAACTTAAGATGAGGTAAAACAGCTGTAAACATCAATTAATAATTGGAACATGAAATGTATGAAGTATTGTTGTTAAGTGCCATCAAGTTGGTTCTGACTCATAGCAGTCCTGTATAGGGTTTCCAAGGAGCATCTGGTGGGTTTGAACCATCAACCTTGTGGTTCGAACTCCAGTGCTGATCCTACAGCAACACATCTATGAAACTAGGAAAACTAGAAATTGTTAAAAATGAAATGGAACACATAAAGGTCCATATCCTAGGTATTAGTGACCTGAAATGGACTGGCATTGGCCATTTTGAATCTGGCAGTTAGATGATTTACCATGCTGGGAAAGACAAATTGAAGAGGAATGGTGTTACATTCATCATCAAAAAGAAAATTTCAAGATTTGTCTTGAAGTATAATGCTGTATGTGATTGGATAATATCCATATGCCAAAAGGAAGACCAGTTAATACCAATATTACTCAAATTTATAGGCTAACTACTAAAGACAGAGATAACAAAATTGAAAAATACTACCAACTTCTTCAGTCTTAAATTGGTAAACATGTTATCAAGATATATTGATAATTACTGGTTATTGGAATGCAAAGATTGGAAAAAAAGAGAAGGGATTAGTAGTTGGAAAATATGGCCTTGGTGATAGAAACGATGCTAGAGAGCACAGGAGAGATTTTGCAAGATCAATGATGTCTTTATCATAAACAACTTTTTTAAACAACATGAAAGACAACTATACACATGGACCTCACCAGATGGAATATACAGAAACCAAATTGATTATGTTTATGGGCAGAGACGTTGGAAAAGCTCCACATCAACAGTTCAAATCAGGCCAGGGCAGACTGTGGAACAGACCATTAAATGCTCATAGTCAACCATTTCAAGAGGTAGCATTTGATCAAGAGCCATACATACTGAAGGAAGAAGTCCAAGGTACACAGAAGACATTGGCAAAGAACAAGCCTCCAGGAATTGATGGAATACAAATGGAAACATTTCAACAAACAGTTGCGGCACTGGAGGTACTCATACATGCCAAGAAATTTGGAAGATAGCTACCTGGCAAACTGATTGGAAGAAATCCATATTTGTGCTCATTGTAAAGGGAATTGATCCAACAGAATGCGGAGAGCATCAGACAATATCATTAATATCATTAATGCATGCAAGTAAAATTGTGCTAAAGATAATTTAAAAATGGCCACAACAGTACACTGACAAGGAACTGCCAGAGGTTCAAGCCAGATTTGGACAAGGATATGGAATAAAGGATACCGTTGCTGACAAAAGATGAATCTTTTGACAGTGTAGATCATGACAAGCTATAGACAACATTGAGGAAAATGAGCATTCCAGAAAACTTAATTGTGTTCATGAGGAACCTGTACATAGACCAAGAGGCAGTCATTCGAACAGAACAAGGAGATACTGAATGGTTTAAAACCAGGAAAGGTGAGATCCAGGGTTGTATTTTTTCACCATTCTTTTTCTTTTTCTTTTCCTTTTTTTTTTTTTTTTTAGAGTAGTGCCTCACGCATGACACCTTTATTTTTATCATTATTATTAGACCATTTTCAACATCATTTAAAATATATGCATATCTTTTTGTCCTTTAATTCACAACTACACTTCTGGAGGGAAAAAGGTTGTCTATGTTCCAGTCTGGTTTCTATATCCACACCAGTTCTTTCAGCTTGGGAAATGCTGAGCTGATTCTTTTCTAACTTCAGGTCTTTGCATATTTCATTATAATACCTGACAACTTTGTCTTCTCAAGCTACCCTTTGAAGTTTTCTGTTCAGCTTTTTTATTTCATTATTTTTTTCCATTTGATTTAGCTATTCTATGTTCAAGAACAAGTTTCAGACGACAGGGGGGCAGGCTTGCGGGGTGTACCCTTTGGTTGGTCAATGATGCATGGAGGGGATTGCGACCATGGCAAGGAAACGATGTGTGACGAAATCAATGTGAACTGTCACACAATTCACATTAAAGCTCTGTGAGAAGACAGCTCTTACGATCCATAAACTTGAGAGCTTCTGCCAGTGTCAACTCCAGGAAAAAACCATATCCAAGGGCCACGTAGATCCGTGAAGTGTCTGGGACCACTGTGTCAACGAAGAAGTTACAGCCCAAATCCACCTGCATGTATAACTCTGAGTGCTTAGTTTCCTGGACTCGCTCAATGACGTTTCTTAATTGAAGATATTTGGCCAGCTGCTCATATACCTTGTTGCGATGGTCCAGCACCTTTCTCAGGTCCCGCTGAAGCACGTCGCTGATGAAGGCCTCATAACGCAGCACGTTCTCACCCGTGGCCTCTACCGCCCGCCGTTTAGGGGGCGTCGTCATGATGACCTCCTTAGAGCCACCGGGAATAAGAACGGCGAGTTAGTCTGAAACACGACTTCCCTCACCATTCTTTTTCAATCTGTATGCTAAGCAAATAATCTAAGAAATTGGATTATATGGAAGAGAATGTGGCTTCAGGATTGGCGGAATACTTATTAACAACCTTCGATATGCACATGATAAAAAAAACCTTGCTTGCTGAAAGCAAAGAGGACTTAAACTACTTACTGCTGAAGATCCAATATCACAGCCTTCGGTATGGGATGCACTTCAAAGTAAATAAAAATCTTCACCACTGGACCAATAAATAGCATCATAATAAATGGAGTCAAAGACTTCCTTTTTCTTGGCTCCACTATCAACATTCATGGTAACAGCAGCCAAGGAATCAAACAATGTATTGCATTAGGCAAATCTGCCACAGAAGACCTCTTTAAAGTGTTCAAGGACAAAAATTTCAGTTTGAGCACTAAGGTTTGCCTGATCCCAGCCATGGTGTTTTCAATAGCTTCATATTCATGTGAAAGTTGGACAATGAATAAGGAAGACTGTAGAATGGATGCATTTGAGTTTTGGTTGTTGTTGTTAGGCACGATCAAGTCAGTACCAACTCATAGCGACCCTATGCACAACAGAACGAAACACTGCCCAGTCCTGGGTCAACCTCACAATCATTGTCACATCTGAGTCCATTGATGCTGCCACTGTGCCAACCCATCTCTTATTCTCCGACCCTCCACCTTACTAAATGTGATATCCTACTCCTGTGACTGTTCCCTCCTGACAATATGTCCGAAGTCTGAGAGATGAAGTCTGGCCATCCTGGCCTTCAAGGAGCACTCTGGCTGTACTTCTTCCAACACAGATCTGTTTGTTCTTTTGGCAGTCCATGGTACTGTCAATATTTTCCTCAAACACCATAACTCAAATGCATCAATTCTCCTACGGTCTTCCCTATTACACTGAGGTGTATCCCATACTGAAGAATGTGGTCCTTGATCTTCATCAATATTTTAAGTCCTCTTCGCTTTCAGCAAGCAGGGGTGTATCACTGCATATCACAGATTGTTAATGAATATTCCTCCAATCCTGATGCCACCTTTTCCTTCATATAATCCAGCTTCTCAGATTATTTGCTCAGCATACAGATTGAATAAAATGGTGAAAGAATACAACCATGGCAAACATCTTTCCTAATTTTAAACCATTCAGTGATCAAACAACTGCTTCTTGGTGTATGTACAAGTTCCTCATGAGCACAACTAAGTGTGGGAGTCCAGCTCTCGCAGGGTTGCAGGGACATGAGAAGAGACGTGGAATTGGCGAAAATGAAAGCAATCGAGGAGTCTCTGCTTAGTTGGCTGGTGGAGCTCTCTCTCTTTTCTTCTCTGCTCTGCCCTGGCTCAGCAAGTCTTTATTTTTACACTTAAAATTACACAGTACATAATGATTTGATACTTTGATTTTCCCTTGAATTATTACACAGTTTTAATCACAACATTCCTTCACCCTGTGATTATACAACCTTAACAAAAGTATTTCTGTGATGTCCA